AAAAAAAAAAGCTGTGGTACATGTACACAGTGAAATACTATGCAACTGTAAGAAAGAATGATCTCTTATCCTTTGAGATGGCATGGAAGGACCTGGAGAGTATTATGCTGAGCAAAACAAGCCAAGCAGAGAAAGACAAGTATCACATGATCTCACTTATTTGTGGAATATAATGAACTAAACAAACTGCTGAACAAAATTAACCCAGAGACATAGACATGGGGTACAGAATGACAAGCCTCAGAGGAGGGGGGTTTGAGGGAGAAGATATAAACCACAGAACTTACATGCATGTATGCAGGACCAATGAACATAGACAACAAAGCTGGGGATGGGGTGGAGGGGAAGGGGAGGAGGGAGTCAATGGGGGAAAAATGAGAAACATCTGTAACAAAAACAAATTAATGAATAAAAAATTAAACAAACCAAAAAAGAAGGACCATGCAATTTCACTTCTGGGTATTTATCCGAAAAAACCCAAAACACTAAATCAAAAAGACATATACAGCCCTGGCTGGTTTCTCAGTGGTTAGAGCATCAGCCCGCAGACCAATGAGTCACGGGTTCGATTCCAGTCAAGGGCACGTACCTCAGTTGTGGTTTGTTCCTGGCCCTGGTGGGGCTGTGCGGGAGGCAGTCAGTTGATGTGACTCTATCACATCAATGTTTCTCTCTGCCTCTCTCCCTCCCTCCCTCTATCTAATAATAAGTAGAAAAATATCCTCGGGTGAGGAATAAAAAAAAAAAAAAAGACATATACAGCCCAGCCAGTGTGGCTCAGTGGATTGAGCGTCAATCCAAGGACTGAGAGGTCCCGGTTCAATTCCCGGTCAGGGCACATGCCCAGGTTTTGGGCTCAATCCCCAACAGGGGACATACGGTGGGTCACCAATTGATGTCTCTCTCACATCGATATTTCTGTATCTTTCTCCCTTCCTCTCTCTCTCAAAAATCATCAATGAAAACGTATTTAAGAAAAACAGACATATACATCCATATGTTCATTGCAGCTTTTACAATAGCAAGATATGGAAGCAACCTAAGTGTCCATCAGCAGATGAACAGATAAAGAAGTGGCGCATACAGACAACGGAATATGCCTCAGCCACAAAACGGAGGACATCTTGCCATCTGCACAACATGGATGGACCTAGAGGGTATTGTGCTGAGTGAAACAGACAAAGACAAATGTCAGATGATTTCACTTACACGTGGAATCTAAACAAAACAAAATAAACAAGCAGAACAAGAACAGACTCAGATACAGAGAACATTCTGATGGTTGCCAGATGGGAGGGGGGGTTGAGGGATGGGTGAAAAAGGTGAAGGGATTAATAAGTACAAATTGGTAGTTACGGAATAGTCACGAGGATGTAAAGTACAGCATAGGGAATAGAGTAATAACATTCTAATAACTATGCATGGTGTCAGATGGGCACTAGATGTATCAGGGTAATCACTTAGTAAGTTTTATAGTGGCTAATCACTGGGTTGTAGACCTGAAACTAATATAATATTATACGTCAACTGTAATTAAAAAAACAAAAAATTATTTAAAGTAAAAAAATTATCTACAGGTTCGGATGTTTTTTAGGTTGATACATTCATGTCAGGAAGAGCTAAGCCGTGGTCTGGAGAAAGGACCGTGTGCTGGCATTAATTATCAGCAAGTGCATGTCCACTGTAGCTATGGCACAGGGTAGAGTCTTCACACATAATTCTGCATGTTGTTTTTCGACATCTAAGGAAAGGCTCTGTGGTGAAGGCAGGGCAGGGGGGCTGAGACAAGGAGTGGTGTCCCCCGGGCCCTCCCTGTCCCCAGCAGAAACAGCACCCACAGCCTCCACGCAGGCTCAACAGGAACAGCTCTGGGTTCAGAACAGCAATCTAAGCACCCCAACAACTGAGGACCGGTTCCAGGAAAAAACAAAGAAGTGAGCGTGTGATCCAAGAAAATGCCCACTGAAGGTTTGGGTCTTCCCACACCAGGCGCCTGGGCGGGCAGCTCAGTGGAAGAGAAGACCACTCCGGGCTTCCCCCGGGGCTGTCACAGCTCCGAGACACAGTGGAGACCCCAAAGCTCCACAGGGAGAGCAGGCCGTTCACCCATGCATCAGAATAGCACCGGGCTCCGGGAACCCGTCTGGGAGCAAACAGGAAGTACATCGATGACTTTCAAGTGACAACAGGACATTATTTTCCTTTTGAATTTTGTATCAGACCAACCTACCTCAAAGTGCAAGTAGAAGAAAAAAAAAAAAAAAGGCATTTTCAGAGCCGCAGGTCCCAGGAGGCGTGTGGAGAATGGGCTGGATGCCAAGTGAGGGAGCGAAAATGGGAAGGGGCCCGGGCTCCCGGAGCAGCGGCTGGGAGTCAGAAGGAGTGAGGGTCCCCATGAGGAGCACAAGATGACTCAGCCGGACCCCGGACCAGAGCAGGAGAGGGGATGGCTCTAGGACAGGCGTCACCAAGGAAAAAGTCAGAGCTGATAATTCTGTCACTTGGAAAAGAAACGCCTCTCTTCCTGTAGAGTTTCGAGACTGAATGCGTGCTTGCCATCGACTCTTAGGAAATTGAACAAACTAACAAGCAAGGAAACAATATTAACTTCAGGAAAATAAATAAATAAATGTGATTACCATCAAGGACATGATTCAGCGGAAAGCAGCATTTATAGAGCCCCAATAATGCGAGCCGTGGGTACTGATTCACCACAGTGGTGAGTAACACTCTTACAGTAACACACACACCGGGACCCCCTCCCCAAGGACTGATTATCTCTGGAAAGATACTTGAAAATGGGTGACCGCAGCTCCCCATTGGCAACGAGTTGCAGGCTGGAGTGGGAGAGAGAAATTTGAAATATTCTACCACATGTATGCACTGCTTTCAAAAAGGTACAAACACCCCATGAGCTTTTGGTCAAGTACAAACGTCTGATCCAGGCAGAACCCCAGAAACCATAGAGATCGGCCACGTCCAGACAGGAATCACCTGCACAGACCACAGGGCCAGCAGGTGCAGGCCTGTCACACCAGGGCAGGGTCGCCTGGGCTGGCCCCAGGACATCCTAAAGGGACACACAGCACCTCTCTGTCCCTGGGACCTGTCCCAGCTGGGCCGGACTGCTCAGGGATGGCTCTCACACAGCAGCTAAGCTCTAGAGCCTTCTTTTTTTTCTTTAATTACATTTACTGGGGGTGGCACTGGTTAATAGGATCACATAGGTTTCAGGTGTGGATGTCTATGTTACAAGATCTGTATAGTGCACTGTGTGCCCACCACCCAAAGTAAATCATCTTCCATCACCATATATTAGGCCCCTTTCACCCCCCACCCCTGACCCCCTCTCTTCTGGCAACCAACACACTGCTGTCTGTGTCCACAACAGAGCCTTCTTAAAAGAAATACAAAAAGGAGAAATATTGTACGTTTCCACTTATAGGAGGTCTCCAGAGTAGAGAAATTCATAGAAAAATAAGACAGAATAGAGGTTACGGGGAGCTGGGGGAGAGGAACGGGGAGTCGGTGTTTCATGGGCAAGGACTTCCCGTTCAGGATAATGGAAAAGTTCTGGGGACGGTGGTAGCGATGGCTGACCAGTGTGAATGTTCTTAATGCCACTGACCTGTACACTCAAAACGGGTGAAAATGGTAAAATTTATTTATGTGCATGTTACCATGATAAGAAAACTGAAAAAATAATTTTTAAATGAAATAGGCATCCTGTGACAGATCAAATGGTGCTGGTGGCCTGCCACAGGTCACCTGCTACCCATGAGCAAAATCTCGTATAAACTGAGCTGACAGGAAGTCTTCTGGGTACGAAGCAAGGCACGGAGGAGCAGTGATCCGCTGCTAAAGATAATTTTTCCATTTGATGGTTTGACTTAAGAAATGATGTCCTAGAAAGATCTCTTATCCTTTGAGATGGCATGGAAGGACCTGGAGAGTATTATGCTAAGCAAAACAAGCCAAGCAGAGAAAGATAAATATCACATGATCTCACTTATTTGTGAAATATAATGAATTAAACAAACTGCTGAATAAAATTAACTCAGAGACATAGAGGTGGGGTACAGACTGACAAGCCTCAGAGGAGGGGGGTTTGTGGGGGAAGATAAACCACAGAACTTACATGCATGTATGCATGACCAATGAACATAGACACCAAAGCTGGGGATGGGGCGGGGGCGGGGGAAGGAGAGGAGGGAGTCAATGGCGGAAAAATGAGAAACATCTGTAATAAAAACAAATTAATACATAAAGAGTAAAAAACAAAATAAATAAAAATAAAAAATAAATACATAAAAGAAAGTTTGAACAAAAAAAAAGAAGTGATGTTCTTATTTTCTAGATGTTTTGCTGCTTTCTCATGTACGATTCAATTGGGGGGTCACCAGAAGCAGCAGGTGTCAGGCCCCTACAGGGCAGCTTTGGGCAGAAGGTTGTCAAACACCAGCTGCTCGGGGCGCAAGGAGCCCACAGAGATACAAACTGACCACTTCACGTCTTCATTAAAAAAAAAAAAAAAAATCAACTAAGCAAGCAAAGTCCTCCCAGCTTTAGTGATAGGAACCATCAAAAGTGCCCCGACCACAGAAAACAAACCACAAAAACATTCCCTTCATCACAAATCACCGATCCCTAGGTCTGCAGAGCCTCCCAGCCACAGGAGCGCCAGCTCCCGTTCTGCTGAGAGCTGCCCCCCAGTCCCTGACCCTGATGGCTGGTGGCCCTCCCTGGGATATTTTACCTGGTAGGAAGCAGCTGCAGAGCTGTCACCCCTACAGCAGACCTGAGAGCTAATTACATTCCAGTGGGGCTACAGTCAATTAACAGAGACCCACCATACAGAATGTCCAATGTTAATCTACTCTCTGAGTGGGCCTGTGGAGCTGCAGATGCAGAGAACAAAGGCTGTCTCGTGTTGAGGAGGCACTTGGTTTCGAACTGTCAGCAGCATACACTTTCCATAGAAAGAGAGGAAGAACACATACCTGAAGGATGCGATCACTGCTGTGACTTCATCATCAGGGTAAAAGTGGGTGACTGCATGATGTGCCCCAAGCAGTTCCTTCCCATCTTTCCACCAAGAAATGTGGGTGTCCTGGTACGTGTTAGGTATACTGATGGAGCAGTTAAATTTGACGTCTTTGTGTTCAGAAAGGATTATGCGGCCAACTGTGTGATTAAACGCAAGAGGTGGCAGGCGCTTGGACCTGGCCAGCGTCACGCTGGGATGGGCTGTGCTGCCCGTGCCGGGTCTTCCAGGCTGGGCTGGTGACGCTGAGGGCTGGGCCCCAAGGGGGAGCGGAGAGGAGGATGGCACGAGGTCAGCCACCGCTCCTGGGAAGGGCAGGGGAGGCGTGGTTTCTTCCGTCACCTCCGCGAGAGCTGGAAAACAGAACAATGATTTTTACCTTTGAAATTCTGGAGTTTCCCAAGTAGGTTCTCAACTTATGAGGCCATGACAAGGGAGAAGTGGGGCCCCCTCAGTGTCCTCGGGACACACGTGAGGAGTTTAATACACACGTCTCGTTCACGGACTCATTCACGTGTTCACGCAACAACTTCTAAAGAACCCTGGTCTTTAAGCCCTGGTCGGTTGGCTCAGCAGTTAGAGCATCGGCCCAAGGACAGAAGGGTCAAAGGTTTGATTCCCCGGTCAAGGGCACATACCCTGGTTGCAGTTTTGATCCCTGGCCTCGGTTGGGGTTGTGCAGGAGGCAACCGACTGACGTGTCTCTCTCACATCGATGTTTCTTTCTCTCTCTCTCTCTCTTTTTCCCTCCCTCCCTCCCTTCTACTCTCCCTAAAAAACCAATGGAAAAATATCCTCGGCTGAGAACTAACATCAACAACAAAAAACAATTGTAAGAAATATAATTCCCCGTGGGGCACAAGAAACTGTCCTCTACCCTCAAGGTTTTTCCAGCTGGTCTAATACTCAAATAGAGACAAAGACAATTAATTAAAGAAAATGTAAAAATTTAATGCATACATATGCATGGGAACCCACATACACGAGAGAGAGACCCCACATGCACGAGGTTCTGAGACAGAAAGGGACTGTGGGTGTATAGACAGCCTGAGCTAGGGACCAGGTGAGCTCCCAAGGGCCATTGCAGGACGATTAGAAAGTAGAGCATGTTTAGTAAATAGAAGTTTTCCCTGCCCTACAGACAGGTTAAAAGAGGTTATGGCTGATCTATGGGCAAGGCCCCTAAATCAAGTTCTATGTAGTTAAGGGAGGGCAGAAGTTTTCCTGAAGACTAAAGGGGACTAAAGTTGCCTTTAGCTCAAAACAATCCACATACCACAGAGCACATCTTGGGGTGACTCATTCTGAGGCACACACTTCCACTGAAAAATATGTTTTTGTGATGCATTCCAAGTCCTTCAAACTCAACTTGGCAGCATGGCAGGAAGGTGACAGCACCTGAGATCACTGACGATCTGTCCAGACACAAGACTGTGCTGCAAATGTGACCAACAGCTGGGAAAGCTGCTGCCGGTCCGAGAGGCCCATCCCTGGGACTGGGGATCGCGGGGTCAAAGTGCACTTACGTCACTTTGCTACAGAATGACTTGGCGCTTCTAGCAAAATGCTTGCCAGTTGTAATGGACCTAGAAAAGTTTCATTTCATCTGGCTCACAAGTATTTCGAAAAATATAGGCTCTCAATAGTTGTCCTTTTAGGTTTTTGTTGTGTTTTGATCCTCACCTGAGGACATTTTTCCATATTTTGTTCAGATAGAGTGGGAGGGAGAGAGAGAAAGAAACATCGACATGAAAGGGACACATCGAGTGGTTGCCACCCACATGACCCAACCAGGGCCGGGACAAACTGCCACCGAGGTACATGCCCTCAGCAGGAACCAAACCCGGGTCTCTCTGGACCGCACGCTAATGCTTTAACCGCTGAGCCAAACTGGCCAGGGCTCCTGTTAGCTTTTTAATGGCATTTGTAGAGCATACGTTCTATGCCGATTGCTACGTATTCAAACACGCTGACCACGATTCCGGTGAAACAGGCAGGCAGAAGAGACAAAGGCACTCTGTGGGCAGTGACTGGGGGTATACCGAGGGCCCCATCCCTGCATGAGGGCTGTGCCTCCTGTCACATTCGAAATGTCACACCCTCCTAGGCTCCTGAGCGTGTATGTGCAGGGTAGGGTGGTCTCTGCTTAGGGTTGTGCCAGATTCAGCGAATAAGAACGCACAACACCCACTTAAACTTGAATTTCAGACACAGCTGCACACTAATCTGGCTAATGGAGCAACAAGCAGGAGACCCGAGGGCAGGAGGGACCTGAGAATGTATCCTCAGGCCGCCTCCCTGCCAAGTCACTCAGGACTGCTCACACACCTCGACTGAGGCCACAGCCCTGGTCAGCGAGTCCTGTCCACTCCCATGGCTGCTGCATGGGGAACACCTCAGGGTGAATGCCAGCGTGGAGGAGAAGAGATTTCACTAGAAGAAACCAGGAAACACCCACTGCTGTCCTTACACTGAGGTCTCAGGGGCTCCGGGGTGCAGGGCCCTCTGCATGCTTTGGTGGAGAGCTACGTGGGTCGGCCCTGATCAGTCAGACAGATGAGTGCTGGGCGGGCAGTGTCCATTCACTCCAAGGAGAGGTCAGGTGACTTGACTCGCCAGGCAAGCCCGATGCAGTGAGGGCCTGTGCTCTCAGTGCGGGGAGGCAGAGCACAGTGCTGGGTCCCATCCAGCCCCCTTCTTTCTCTGATTTGGGGTGCTTTCTATAGCAATGAATGCTCCTGCTCTTTACCTCATGCATGCGCTTTTTCTACAGGCTCCAAAGCTCTCCCGACAACCTCTGCCTCTTCCATCAGCCAGCTCATCTCTAGTCCTTCCAACTCACTGAGCCCCGCACTGCTAGGGAGCAGGGTTTTGTCCAAATCATCATTATTTTTTTTTCTTTAAATATATGTCCCTTTACAGAGGCAAAAAAGTAGAGTGAAGAAAGCAAATCAATTTTTTTGCTTTAATTTACTTGAAAACACGTGTCATTTCTAATGATCAAGGTAACAAAGTCTGCTGTCAAGAGTGCAAATACTCGTAGAAGCATAGAAAGTGTAAAATGAAAACCTGTTTTGTGACGCCAACCCTGCAAGTTAACCTCGGATTCAGTCTGGGGTGTAACCTTTGTTTTCTGTGACCGATCGAACCAAGCAAACCGACGGCAAGGCCCCCACTCAGATGATGTCACTGAAGTCAGGCGCAGCCACCCCACCCTGCAGTCACTATGGATGATTCAAGAGATGACTGATCTCCATGATTTGAGCTTCCAGAAGTCAGAAGAATGATTTAATTGCCAATAAATATTTACACAGCACGTCCTGGGACTCAGAGTGGCTGTGACAGTCTAATGGGCCACAGAAAGGCACCTGCCAGGAGGGGAGCAGAGGGTGCCAGGGTCAAAGGGGAAACAGCATGGCTAACGGGGGGTGGGGAAGGCCTTCGCTGTTCCCTTCCCGCCCCACACTGCTCAGCCCTGCGAGGTGGCAGCTCCCGCCGCGTTACATCTGTGACCACTCACTCACCTCCTTCTCCCTGCTGCAGCCGCGGAGAGCCCGCGAGCCCTCGCACGCACACCCAGCCAGTTCAAACAGGTGCTCAAAATGGGTGCTGAAGGAGTAAGTTACGGCATGAATGAGAGTGAGGGGAGGATGCACAGGGTTTCCAGGGGCAGAGGTGCCGGGAAATGGAGAAAAAGAGGAGGTCCTGTGGTCTGCGAACACGGGCTGAGCTGGCAGGTGTTGCTAACTCCGGGCCCTGAATCAAGGCAGCGGCCGCAGGACCCCTGAGGCTTCTGCTCGGGGTGATCGGAGCTGGGCAGGACCAGGGCACCAGGGGCAGGAGGCAGGGAAATGCGGAACCCTGAGAGGAGCCTGAAGACCTAACCTCAGAGTGGCCAAAAGTGGGCAGAACGCAGGGGACAGAAGGGGGGCGGACCACATCAGCATTCTCTCCATCGCCACCAGGTCACACCAGGAAGGTCGGTCTGACCCAAATACTGAGGCAGGGTGTAATCTCAGAGCGCAGGGAACGTCTCAGGGGCGGTCACGTGGCAGTGCTATCCGCCTGAAGGATGCGGGGTGTGAGGCTGCTGCGGCCAGTCTCCTCGCGGTGACAGTGGGGGTGGAATAGCTGTGACCCCCGGTCCGCCGTTAGACATAAAAACGGTATTGCTATGTCTGGGTCGTAGTAAGCGCTTGAACAATCGTAGATATTGTTTGCACGGTTTTCTCACTTTATTATGAATAAGTAAAACCCTGCCATGGTGCAATTCCTCAGAATGGCTGATTTGCAGGACTGAGGTCCGCCGGGTTGGTGAGGTTCTCACTGGACTTTGGTGTATGTGTGTGGGGTGGGGGGTGGCACTGCCATTCACATAGCCACCTGTGGGAATCGTGCTTGAGAGCGAAAGAGTGTGGACATGTGGATCATGTCTGTAGCTTTCCTGAAGGCTGCATGTGGCATCCTCTGAACCCAGCACGGTACATGGGATGGAGCTGACTTGCAGTGACCGTCTGTGTGATAAATGGGTGAGACGGGGGCAGCGCTCTGAAGGGTGGGCAGGGAAGGAAGGTGGTCCAGGCAAGGACACTGCTGTAGCTGGGAGGGGCTGCAATGGGACTTCTCCGAAGCGGCACCAGTTCCAACAACCACACACAGCCACAGTGGGTCAGATGTGTGGGGACCTTAGTCTCAAAACTGGTCAATGCGGGGCTGTTAGTAAAGAAGCTGTTTTCTGAGTGATAAACTTTCGCATCCCAAATGCACAAAGGTCTGCTAAGTGCATGCTGAACATGTGTGGTGGTGATATTATTGTAATTAACCTAGTTATTAGTAACAGGAAAAAAGCAAAGGCATGTCCCCTGCAAAACACTGGAGAAGGGGACTGGACGAAGGAAAGACAGATGCATGCCCAGTACAGTTGGGATGACTAGGAAAGGTGTTCGTTATCCATAACACCTGGGGACAGAGATGGTTGGCCAGAAGGGGTGTAGCCACTGCAAGGGAGAGGACACTTGGAATATTTAATCCCCAGAACAAAGGAATTTGTGCTCTTGTGCTCTCTTGTGCTTTCGGGACCTGTGGGGCTCTTGTTGCTTGAGGTCCACTCGCCAGCACCCTCCAGAGTGGACCACAGCTGTGGGAACCCCACGCTCAGTGGACTAATGGACTGTCACGAGCCTGAGGTTGTACGGGACCTGGCTGCAATACTGAACGAAAATTCTGGACACTGGCTTTGCTTCTAGCTTTACTGAAACCCCAGCTACACTTCTATAACTGGAACAAAAGAAATGGGGCTTTGGAAACCCAGGGATATAATTCCACACACATAAAAATCACACCTTCTCCCATG